AATCAAATATATTTTTCACTTCCTATGTTTCTAGTATAGCTTTAATCTGGTACGTTTCATAACTTTTTAAAAACTTTTTGTATGGGTGATGGCTGGAAAAGCGCAATATGTATTTATAAAAATATAGGTTAACTTGTATGCTCGGGAAGACATTTTTGAAATTCGCAAAACCCTAAGGTTGAGAAAAACATTTAGAATTGCGGAAATATCAGGAAAAAGATAACCAAAATTTTAAATAAAATTACTGATTGATGATTAGCCTTACAAACTTCTTAGTAGATTTTTTTTGGTTATATTAAACCAAGTTTTAGTGTTATGCAACTGTCCTAGTTAACTTGTAGAAGAAAAAATATCAAGATTGTTACAATATAACACTATAAACATATTACGACGGGTAATAGAATAGAACAATTTGCAATATCCACAAAAATTTAAATATTTTGAATATATTTTAAAATTGCAATAAAATTTTAACAAATAACTTGCAATAAAAATAACATAAAAACTACTAAACAGCAAATACTAACTTTATTTATCTTCAAAATTTTGACTCAAAAACTTATTTTTCAAAAGTGAATGCCGAGAGCTTTTATAAACTTCTAATTTTGACAAAGCTAACAAAAAAACTAAAAAAAAAATTGTCGAAAAAGTCGAAAACTAAATAACTTGAATAAAACTTTTTCCAATTTGACCTTGGCAATCAAAATAAACAGAATTGATAAAATACTGGATAACTATTTAAATATTTTGCATATATATTTTAAAATTGCAATAAAATTTTAACAACTAACTTGCAATAAAAATAACATAAAAACTACTAAACAACAAATACTAACTTTCTTTATCTTCAAAATTTTGACTCAAAAATTTATTTTTCAAAAGTGAATGCCGAGAGCTTTTATAAACTTCTAATTTTAACAAAAAAGCTAAAAAAAAATTGTCGAAAAACTAAATAAGTTAAATAAAACTTTTTCCAATTTGACCCTGGCAATAAAAGTAAACAGAACTGATAATATAATGGATAACTATATAAAAAACAAATATTTTTTGTTTGATAAAAAAAAAAAGGTACGTTTCTGCATCCTCCATGCACACTCCTAGATAAAATTTTCTTCAACAACTTGAATAAGATTGAATATTCAACTACAAAATAAAAATCACTCATTGATATTGGAATAATAATAATACTGCTATTTAATGAAAAGCAATTCACGCAGCTTGATTATACTGCAGTTGATAAATCTCTTTCAGCCCTAATACAAATCATATTATTTAATAATACTATTTATATCAATCTACACATATTTACATTTAGAATACTATTTAGAATACATAGAAATATTTTTTAAACGGTTTAATTTAAAAGGAAGAGTGAAATACACACATATAAAAAAAAAACAACATAGACAGAAATTAAATTTGAAGTTTTTAAAAATATTTACGACTCATCCAAACTAGGGATGTACCGAAGCTTCGGCTTCGGCTTCGGCGTGCCGAAGTTTCGGCAATTTTGCCGAAGCTTCGGTTCGGCCGAAGCCAGGTCAATTTTTTGCCGAATCTTTGGCTTCGGCAAAAAATTTTAATTAATTAAAGTTATAAGCTACTGTGGGACAAGTTATAAAAATAAGCTAATTGCCAGTGTCTAATAAAGTTATAAATTTAGGAAAACAGAGTTAAAGTTGGAGTCTATACCATATACTTAGTATTATTTACTCCCAAGTGTCTTGTTATGGAGGGGATAATAATAAATAAGTAAAAATATTTTGAAAAAAATAATAAAATTAAGGAAGGTCCTCAAACACTTTGAATGCTTCCAAGTGTGACTTTAGATGAACTGAAGCAGCATTTCTATGCAGAATAAAAACCTTATAATTTAAAACAAATTAAAAGTTTTTAAAACCTTAATAACGAATTCATATTAATTATTGTGTGGGATTACCGCAAATAGAACAAAATTTGGTTTCAACATTTGACCGATAAACCTTAGTAATCTCTCTTTAAAGAAGATTAACGATACGTTGCTACTATTTTAAATTGTGTGTATGTTTAATTTTTTAAAATTTTATTTAACCATATTAATAAAAATTTACAAATTTTCATCGTAAATTTACAGAAATTGGTTAGGTGTCACTTATATAGATACAAAATAGTCAATGGAGTGACACATAAAAAACAAAAAGTTCTCAACAACAAAAAAGGAAGAAAAGCAAATGAAATATAAACGAGGAGAACAAAAAAAGAAAAAAAAAAGCCAACAAAAACTAGATAAATTAAAAGAAAAAGAAAAACAATGATAATAACTATCCTTGCTCTTTTATTAATATTATGAATACTTCTAAATTGAATTTATATATTAAACATATAAACCAATATTTTGGTTTCTTCTTATGATATTATGAAGACTTTTAAATTTTATTTAAAAGGTTGAAGCTTTGATTACTTTGAACTCTTATATTTATCATCAAAATTTATTTAAATTAAATAAAAAATTTAAATCAAATAAATATCAGCCTGCTCAGCCCCTGTTTATTTATAAATATAAAGTAAATAATAATATAATTATTAATAAAAAATTTATAAAGTATTCTATTTATTATTTATTTAAAGCTCACTCTACAGAGTTGTTAGATTACTTTGGAAGTTTTTATCACAGATAGTTAATATTTGATTTCAGATACTGATGCAGATTTATCCATTATAGAGACAGAAGAAGAATGAACACTAAGATTTCAAAGTATAAAGTTGAAAATAATAAAAAAAAAAATACTTAAAAGTGTGTAAAAAAGAAGTTAGAGAGAAATCTATCATTTGTATTTTTTTTTAACAGCAGGAGCACAACAGTTGTAGTGGAATCCAAAATGGTCTTAACTTGGGTTTTTTTTAGTTTAGAAATTGTTTGTTTAAAGAATACAGAGAAGTAAAAAAAAAGATATTGAAATAGAAAGCAATAAAAAGATAAAGTGTGTTTCTAAGATTTTTTATGTTGTAGATACAACTAGATCAGTTAAGAGTGTTTATTTAAAGAAAGAGTGATCAAGTGCAAAAGATAATTTTACTCTAGTAATGTTCAGAGATTTTTATCCACTTCTATTTAACAAAAGGTGCATTAAAAATAAAAATAAAATATACAGCACATGAAAAAATGCTATATAACATATAATATGGTTTGCACACAGAAAAAGTAGAACTAGAAGTAGGAAAATTTGGGGAGAATGTTTCAAAAAAGCTTAAGTTTAAAAAAAAAACGCTCGATGCAGTCAAGTATCAGAAACGACATAATGAGAAACTTTTAAACAGGGGCGCTGAGAGCTTTTGCCCTGCCTGGAACAGCAACCCTGACTGGCGTCCTCATTTTTATACAATTTTTCTATATTATTAGTCAAGGACCTTAGTTTTGGTACCTTTTTTGTTTTACACCCCTGCTGATCTGAATGCTGATTAAACTTTAAGCATAAATAGTGCCGAAGCTTCGGCTTCGGCCGAAGCTGCGGCTTCGGCAAAGTGGCTTCGGCCAAAGCTTCGGCTTCGGCAAAATTTCAGCTTCGGTACATCCCTAATCCAAACAAAAAAAAACATTTTTTTCTCATTTAAATAAACAACAAAATTTAAATGAAATGCATAATATAAAAAAATTGACTTTCATATTGTTTGAAGAAAAAAAATAATAACTAACCTCGAAATCTCCTGATTATATCTAAATTAAATCTATAATCTCCTGATTATATCTAAAAAATGTAATACTTCATTATAGTACAATATGAATATTGTATACACAATTTTTAATTAAAAAAAATACATACAACTGAGGGTTTTTTTTCTTCCTTTCATAAACAATCCGAGTTCTTATTTGTTTCCAGTTGTACTTAATGCTCAAATCTGTATTTTTTATAAGCTCAGTAATTATATCTTCACTCAACCGCCCACCTTTAAAAAGTTCACTACAAGTTGAATGCAGTAGTAACATGTCTTGTTTTGAAAACATTTTTTGCCTTTTAGGAGTAACGTTGGTCTAACAATTAAAAACAAAAAAACAATCCTTGTTAAAGATTTTTTTTTTTAAATCAATTTTAAAAGTACGATGAAAATGTAATTTAAAAAAGTACCTTTATAGATGGAGATCTAGAAAAACTTCCAATTTTGTCATAAATTTTTTTAGGAGTTGTAACTATGTTAATTGTTGGCATTTTATCAACTATTTCTCTCATTGTAGAAGATCCGTTAAATGTATTTTTTAAAATGCGTTCTTCAACTGAACTCCACTTTTTTCTGATTTTTGTGTTCTCAGGACTAGCCAATGAATCTGTGTCTAGTCCTGATAACACTGAAGCAGTACTAGGCATGCTGCCATAAAAATACTTACTGATAGCCAAACTGCCTTTTGGAGCTGTGTCTCGCATAGAACGAGTATAATAATGCTTTTTCGCTGTTTCAGGATCATGTCCCATGAGATCAGCAACTGCTTGTATGTTTCCAGTATTTTCGCGAACCCCAGTGGAAGCAGATTTTCGAATCAGTGTGGCACATATATTTCGCTTAACAGATTCGTTATAAAAAATGCCAGCCTTTTTCCAAAGGGAACCAAGCTGAACACTTATAGCACCAGAAGTCATGGGCTGCCCTGACCAAGTTAAAAATATATTGTCACAATGATTTAATATTTGTGAATGTATTTTAGTGATGTATATTGTCAACCACTTGAATGTTATTGGGTTTAAAACAACATGAGCATGACCATATGTATCAAAGGTCTTATGATTCAAAACTGATATAATATAGGTTCCATCTGAGTTTAACTCATGCTTATTATACTCTCCAACAGTTATATTTGCTGTGACTCCAGATCTGTGTGCATTTCCAAGATGTATCAAAACTAATAAGTGGTCCCTCATGGTAATATACTGGGATTGTGTTTGCAAATCGAGCTAAATATAAAAAACAGGTCAGACTCATAGTATTGCTTTACCTGATTAGGTGATATCATTGACTCATGGTCTCTTTCTTGTCTTAACCAAAAATTCCTTCTGTCTGCTTTATTGTAAGTTTTTCTCCATTTGTTAATACTTAGTTTTAGATGGTTTATATCTAAGCAGTTACATTTTGAAAGGAGTAATGCAGAACTATCTATCAACAAAAAGTCACAGAGGTCAATTAATGAAAACAGATACTTTTTGATAGAGCCAGGTTTCAAGTCATTAGCCACAAGTTTTGGAATATGTACACCTCGAACTGTTTCAACATTAAAAACATCAGAAATATTTTCTTTGACTTCTACAAGACAAAAGAATCTCTTTACATCGCTAAAGTTCTATTTGCAGAACTTTTTTAACGTAAATTTTCAGGACCAAGTAAAAAGTTTAAGAATTTTTCAAGAAATAGATTTATACAATTATGAAGTGGTAAAAAAAAATCTTCTGCCAAAAAAGATTCATCAGTGTCATTTTCTTCAGAACCTTCATCTTCATTATCAGTGTCATCTTTATCTGAATCAAGGATTGTAGGCACCTTTCTGCTATCTGCTATTGTTTTAGCACTATCTGCTAAAAGAACATCAACATTAACTAATTCTTTAGATGCTGTGAAAGATGAAACATTTTGTATTTTAGATGCATTATCTTCTGCCAAGGAATTAACTGGATCAAGTATAGGTTGCAAATTGTTATTAGAAACAAAAGATTCTTTCTGACTGTTGTCATTCAACAACTTGACTGTCCCTAACATTTCATTTTTATTATATTTTTTTGGAGATAATAAATTGATTGTAAAAGTATCATTTAATGGGAATATTGCTGATTTTTTTAATAAACTTTTATAACTTTCATCAGATGATTTAAGCCCATTTTTCAGGTGATCATCTACTCTGATTACTGCACTGAAACAACCAGGAATAGGACACTCATTAAAATGATTTAACTCAGATGACCTTTTCCTTAAGTTAAAACGAGTTAATGCTTTTTTTATATAATCTTCTGGAATGTTTTTATGTTTTTTGCTACGTAAATCCCTGGGAAGATCAAGGGTTTCTTCAGAGCATCCATCAATAATACACTTAATTTTTCTACGTTGATTTGAGCTATTACAAAAAAAAAAAAAATTAATCAAATTTGATATATGGGCATAATACTTAGAACTGCTGCATACAAATACTAAAATTAAGTGTTACTTAATTAAACTTTAATGTTTTAATTTAGTTTAGATCTTAAATTTTATAAAATACAAATTCATACTAATCTACAAAGCAATAATACAGATGAGAAATCCCAAAAGAGATATTGAAGTTCAGAGGCAATCATTATTTTACATGAAGTTTTACAATGTATTGGAGCTTCACAAATATTTAGGGACTTCGATACTCAATATAAATTAATCAAAAGTCCTGAATTTTAAAAATATTGAAGACCTAAAAATCGAAAAAAACTCACCCACTTTTCTTATTCTTGGAAACCTTAAACATAAAATAATTTAATTTTCTACAAGTAATAAAAGTTCAAACTCATCAATAGGCAAAATTATCTAAATTTAAACATGCTTACTTAAAAAAAAAAAAAAAAACACTTATTTATTTAATGCAAAACAAGAACATTATATAGATCATATTCCAATTAAAGTTAACTCATTAGAACATAATTAACCTCTTTTAAATCTATATCATCGGTAGGAAACAAAGTATATGACAATGATTGATTCTTTGTTTCATATAATGTACTCTAAAAAGCAACAAGTACAGATTTTCTAAAACAATATAATTCTAATTAGAAAATAAATTTTTTTTTGCATTGGTCCTAGAATGCTGGTATGAAAAACACATTAACAAATCTCAATATAAAAAACCATCTAGCTTGAATATGTTTACTTTAAATTAAATTGTAAGAAGACATAAATTTCTTATGAAAACAATGTTTATTTAAGTTTTCACTTTTTCATTGTTAAACATTGTTTTAATCACAATAAAATTGTTAGTTTAAATTACAATAAAACTGTTACTCAATTACAGTTAAACCACAATAACATAGTTTACATAGTAATATATACAATTCTAATTCTAACTCAATTTGAAAACGCTTATTTAAAAACAAGAAAAAACAATAAATTGGAAGCACAACAAAACCAATAGATCTTATATCCATTAGAGCAAGCCAATCATAACATAAATTACTTTTTTCATATCTAAATCATGGGTATGAGACAAAGCACGCAATGATGATCGATTTTTTGTTGCATATATTGCACTCTATATAACATCAAGTAAATTATAATTAATAGTAAAAAATGATACATGATAATTTATAGTAAAATATGAAATTTCAAATTCAAATTCAAATTGACATCTCAGAATCACAAAATATATAAGCAAATCTCAATAACAAGCAATATTATCAAAATTTAAACATGCTTACTTAAAAACAAGAGAAAAAAGCACTAAATTATTTAATGCAAATCAAAAGCATTAGAACTTATATTATATACAGCTAGCCCATTATAACATAATTTACCTTTTTTATATCTAAATCATGGGTATGAGACAAAAAATGCGACGGTGATCGATTCTTTGTTGCATATATTGCACTCTATAAAATAAAAAGTACAGTTAATAATTTCTAGTATAAAATATAAATTTAAGTTGAAACTGACATATTATTTAACAATTATCCCAGAGTGACAAAATACATTAGCAAATCTCGAAAAAAAGCAAAGTCATCTAAAAATAAACATGCTTTTTTTAAAACAAGACGGAAAAAATAGTTGAATTATTCAATGCACAACAAAAAAACTAGATCATATTTCATTTTATGCTAGCCCATTATAACAGAATTTACCTTTTTTATATCTAAATCATGGGTATGAGACAAAGTATCCGACGGTGATCGATTCTTTTTTGCATCTATTGCACTCTATAAAATAAAAAGTACATTTGATAAATTCTAGTAAAAAATGCAAATTTAAGTAGAAAATGACATCTTTTTAAGCCATTATCCCAGAGTGATAAAATAAATTAGCAAATCTCAATAAAAAGCAAAATCATCTAAATTTGAACACACTTAATAATATATAATAGGAAAAAATTGATTTGTTTAATACGAAACAAAAACATGAGATCAGGCTTGGTCGGGAAGCGGGAGCGATCGCTCTCGAATACTGACCACGGAAATTATATTTAGTTGCGTAAAACTGGCCAGGTTGTTTAGTCGTTTTGAGAACATTTGAGTTTATTAATGAAACAAAAAATTTTTGTTTTATGGACATACATGGAAACATAAAAAACTTGAATGTTCCCAAAACATCATTGTGCGCAAAAATAAAAAGAATATTTGCGACCACTAAAAACCCGCCAAATTAACGAACAAACTAATTCTATTGGTTCAAAAAATACGCTGATTAAGCGAAATAAAGTTCTAGAGTATTCTGTTGAAATGTTTTAGAATTTTTTATTATTCTCGTTTTGAGATTTCTAGCATAAATTGTTTTAAAAATATATATTATTTGTTTACAAAAATAAATGTTTTAAATTTATATTAATTAAATTGTTAAAATTTTAAAAGTTTATTATAAATTATAGATTTTATTAGTATATTCTTATTTTTTATTTAAAAAGTATGTAATCTTTATGTAAATGTAATTTTGTGTATCTGTTTTTTATCGTAATGTATCTTTTAAAGCAATTTTTATGATTTAAATAAAGACTTACAAAAATAATTGCGTTTTCAATGAAGTTATAATCGTTAAAGTTTATAAAACTAATTATGTAACAAACATATAAAAAGTTTCTAGTTACTAAACACAAACAACGCATACAAAGTAACTCGCGGATGAACAAGCATCGCGCCTGAGGTCACGACAGAACACAAATATATATAGCAAATAATTAGATAAAAACAAAGTTTCTAGATATTGGTTTACTAACTCTAATTATTTTCGCTTAAGTTGCCATTCTTAAAACTTGTTTTACTTTTTTCTGCTTTAAATACTAATTAAAATTAAAAACTCACTAAACATTATCAGCGACATTGTGAAGCAGTTTCACTTCCTGGTCATTAAGTATTTTTAACCTTTTTAGTTGATATCTATCTTGATAATTTAATTCCAATAGTAGTTCAATGATTTAATTATTTCATTTGTTTATCTTACTAAGAAGAATCGCTTCAAATATGTTAAACTTTTCAAACTACGCAAAACATAAAATAGGTATTAAAAAAATTAACTTTTTTATTTATTAAACAATTTAGCTCAAGTAAAACTAGAACTTGCAAACTTAGTTAAATAAAGGATATTTGTTTCTCTTTTAAACAATCATAAGTTGTTAATTTTATAAAAAAATTATAAAAGAGCGATGTTTCGAAAATATTTGTTCTAAATGTAATTTATTTAGCTTTAAGTTTTTTCGCGTTAAAAGATATTTTATTTGCCTATTTTTTTTTTTTTTTTTGTAATTGTCTCTCATTGGTCCAATTAATCTTCGTCGTTTTTTTTTTTTTTTGCTTTTTAAAATGTTCTCAAAACGACTAAAAAATCTGGCCAGCTTTTCGCAACTAAATATTATCTACGTGGTCAGCAATCGAGAGCGATCGCTCCCGCTTCCCGACCAAGCCTGTGAGATCTTATGTCATTTACAGCCACCCCATTATAACATAATTTACCTTTTTAATATCTAAATCATGGGTATGAGACAAAGTATGTGATGGCGATCGATTCTTTTTTGCATATATTGCACTCTATAAAATAAAAAGTATATTTAGTAGTTTCAAGTAAAAAATGTTAAAATAAGTAAAAACTGACATCTTTTTTTTTTTGCCTTGATCCCAAAGTGACAAAATACATTAGCAAATCTCAAAAACAAGTAAAGTCATTTAAAATCAAACATGCTTACTTAAAAACAAGAAAGAAAAAAAAGCTGAAATGTTTAATGCACAACAAAAATATTAAATGTTATTTCAATTACAGCTACCCCATTATAACTTAGATTACCTTATTTTTATCTAAACCATGGGTATGAGATAAAGTATGTGATGGTGATTGATTTTTTATTGCATATATTGTACTTTATAAAACAATAATTACATTTGATAATTTCTAGAAAAAATATAATTTTTAATTTTAATTACATGTAATTCAATATAACAAAATTTACCTTTTTTACATCTAAATCATTAATAGGAGACAAAGTACACAATGGTGATTGACTTTTAGTTGCATATATTTCACTCTATAAAACAACAAATACAATTCACAATTTTCTAAAACAAATATTTTCATTAGAATATTACATCTTTTTTTTTTTGCCTTGATCCCAGAGTGACAAAATATATTAGCAAATCTCAAAAACAAGTAAAGTCATTTAAAATTAAACATGCTTACTTAAAAACAAGAAAGAAAAAAAAGCTGAAATATTTAATGCACAGCAAAAATATTAGTTGTTATTTTAATTACAGCTACCCCATTATAACTTAGATTACCTTTTTTATTTCTAAACCATGGGTATGAGATAAAGTAAGTGATGGTGATTGATTTTTTATTGCATATATTTCACTCTATAAAACAATAATAACATTTGATAATTTCTAGAAAAATGTAATTTTTAATTTCAATTACATGTAACTCATTATAACGTAATTTACCTTTTTTACATCTAAGTCATGAATAGGAGACAAAGTACACAATAGTGATTGACTTTTTGTTGTACATATTTCACTCTACAAAACATCAAATACAATTCAAAATTTTCTAAAATAAATTTTTTCATTAGAATGTGAAATCTTTTTTTTTTGCCTTGATCCCAGAGTGACAAAATACATTAGCAAATCTCAAAAACAAGTAAAGTCATTTAAAATCAAACATGCTTACTTAAAAACAAGAAAGAAAAAAAAGCTGAAATGTTTAATGCACAACAAAAACATTAGATGTTATTTCAATTACAGCTACCATATTATAACATAGTTTGCCTTTTTTATATCTAAATTATGGGTATGAGAAAAATGTGATGGTAATTGATTTTTATTGCATTTATTGCACTCTATAAAACAATAATTACATTTGATAATTTCTAGAAAAAATATAATTTCAAATTTTAATTACATGTAATTCAAGCCTTGGAATAAGGGTCGGCATTTGGCAATGTCGACCTAACTGCCGACCTAAACCTGTTTGCGGTCGGCAAAAAAAAAAATCGGTTATGCCGGCCTCGTTTCGATGTTTTATGGTAAGACTTGCATCTGCCGACCTGATGCTGACCTCTTAAAGATTGAGGTCGGCAATTAACCTTTGCATTATTGCCAACATCAATTTTCTTAATTCCGAGGGTTGTATATATATATATATATATATATATATATATATATATATATATATATATATATATATATATATATATATATATATATATATATATATATATATATATATATATATATATATATTAATTTATTTTATGTTAGATAGTACATTTTATTTATTACATTTGTAGATAAAACAAGAAAACAATGAGGGGACAATATATTGCACTAGAAAAAGCAACAAGAATGTGTCTACTACATTTAAACAAGAGTGCTAAAAGTTTAGTCTACCAAATCACAAAGAATTAATTACATTATTATATACTATATTTGATAGTTTGTTTGACATGGCTAACTAAACAACTAAATTGTTTGTTTGGTCAAAATAAACAAATAAACTGCTTATGTCAAAATAAACAACTAATTTGTTAATTGTCTAAACAATTTAAATATTATTTTTATTAAATCTGTACCTGGCTTTAAAAGCTCAGTATCAATATTGTACTTAAAGATCTTCAAAGATTTGGTTAGCATACCACAATTGAACAGTGTTGCACTTATACTAATGTAGGACTTTTCATTGGGAAGTGCCATTTGTTAAGGGCATTTTTTTTCTTCTTTAAAACTGTGAATTCACATTAAATTAAATGGCAAAGAAGAAATTTTTAACAAAAAACTAGGCAGATGCCTACTCATAATACATGGATTGATTAATAAAGATTAAAATAGTTTATAGAATTTCTATAAGAAAATAGTATATTGTAATTCCTAGATAACAAATTTGATTGGATAAAAATATATTTGCAGTTACTATCATACTAATTTTAAAAAAATTAGGAGCAATTATTATTATTTCGTTATTGAGGATAAATATAATATTATTTTATTACTGAGGCTATTTTATGGAACCTTTCAAATTTTTGTATGGGTGACAACTAAAAAACCAAAAAATAAATATATTACAAGCTTCGGCGGGAATAAATGAACACTAGAGTAGAGAAAAGCTCTCCTAAAACGAACTTGGGAAGCTATGCGAGCTGCTCCACTTTTAAATTAGCGCTCTTTTTAAATTTTTTTTGCAACAACCGTGCTTCTTAAAAAGCATTGCAGTATATATTTTTAAAAATTACATTGCGTTTTTTATTTTAGTTACAACAATAATTATGCTTTAGTGAGAAAAATTATACTTTTTGTGAGAGCCCTAAATTGCTCCCGTAAACTGTTTTACGGGAGCAATTACTAATTTGTAAATCTGCTAGTTTACAAATAATGTTAATCCTTAAAAAATATATATAAACTAAAATTTTTTATTTTGTTAGGATGAGAGAAAAAAAAAAAAATTTAAGATTGATTACTTTCTAAAAAAAAATAATAAGAACAAATCAAATTTTATTTAAAATTAAAATAAGAGAGAGATTATAATATTAACATAAATATACCTTAATAACAATAAAGCATACCTTTTCACTATTAGTATCAACCTCAAGGGAATTAGAAGGAGAAAGATTCTTTGTTACACTCTGAAATTTTAACAATTTGGTATGCAATAAATTATAATTATTATAATTTTAAGGAGAAACAATAGATGACAAATCAACTCAATATTATCTAAATGATTGTGGAAATAAAAAACAACGCAACAGATGCACTTACAGTTATAAATTGCAGTACCTTTAACAAAGGAGAACTTGATTTTATAGCATGAATCTATTAATAAATTTAAAATTAAAAATAAATAGAGCTTAAAAACCATTAATTTAAGGGTTTTATATTTTAAATAAATTATAAAATAATAATAATAATAAAAAAAAGAAACAACCTAAACATAGCTTACAAAATTAAAACTGGGTTTAAATTTATTTTTTTGAATATCTATGTGAACAATATTTAACGGCAAATGCAGTAATAAACCAAACAGTAAAACAAAATTAGGCAAAAACTTTGCAACAACAACAAATAGCATAACTTATAACAATTCTAAAGAAACTTTTAATTAACATTTTATTAGTTCAAAGTAACAAAACTTATTTGAGATTATTATTTTGGTTTTTTCTAAAATACACACAAAGAAAGTTATTTTTAAAAAATTCTAACTTCTCAAATATAATCCACCATATAATAAAATTTTTTGCTAAATACGTTTCTTATCAAGATGTTTTTAAAAAAACTTGAAAAATATTTCTAGAGATTTAAAACTATATTGTAGTTATAAAATTAAAAATTGAAAACTCATTAAAAACAAAATATTCAAAATTTCAATTTAAAAAAATGCAAGCGGAGAGATAAAAGTTTTTTTCATTAGAATAATGCAAAGAGAGTAAATAATTAAAATACTTGAAATAAGAAAACATCTTATATAACATAACAATTTAAATCTTACATAAAATAACAGTTAAAAAATAAATGAAAATTGTATATAATCAAAAAAAAAAATTTTTTAATGAAAAATTTTATAAAAAATAGTCAAGCAGGAATTTGTGACATAATTATGTTAAATAATAATTAAAATAACAAAAAATCTTTTAAGTCAATGCTTAAAATATCCAAAACATATAATAAAAACAATCATATATTACCATAAAATCAATATCTGCTTTAACTCTTTCCAATAAACTAATTTCTTCATCAACAATACTATATTTAATGAAAAGAAATGGTTAAAAAGGAGAATAAAAAATAAAAAAATTAGGGTTTAGATCTCAAATAAAATACAGCAATGGTTTCTTTTTTAGAGGTTTATATTGTAATTATAGTTTGTAAATATAATATATTTATAGTTTGTAAACATAACATAATACAAAATACCTTGATTTGTTACTTTGAATGCTTTAAGAAAAAGAGCTTAAAATCTAATTTTAAATAAATAGTTTATTTTATATAACTAATAATTATTAAATAAGAAATTATGAAATTATTATTAAAATATTTTTCAATAATTAAAAAATATTTAATTAATTAACACTAATTTAATGTAGAAAAAAACCATAATTACCAAGTTATAAGAAACTTACTTCTGATGCTTTTAAAAATACTTTTTTTTGCAATGTCTAAAAATTAATAAAATTCATATCTAATCATTTGTATAAAATTAATATTACTATACCATATATATATATATATATATATATATATATATATATATATATATATATATATATATATATATATATATATATATATATATATATATATATATATATATAGGTATATATATATATATATATAATATATATATATATATATATATATATATATTTCTTGAATGAAAAATGCTTTGTATTACACAATATCATATTAGGTTTTAGATTTTTTTTATTACACAATATCATATTAGGTTTGTATTACACAATATTATATTAGGTTTTAGATTTTTTTTATAGTTATTTATTAAACTATCAAATATTTTTATGGTAATTATTTTTGCTCAGCAATTTACAAAATACTACAAAGTCCTTCGCAAAAATCCTAGTCATATGCACAGTACCAAAATTAATTTCAAACGCTGTATGTGTGTGTGTGTGTGTGTGTGTGTATATATATATATATATATATATATATATATATATATATATATATATATATATATATATATATATATATATATATATATATATATATACATATATATATATATATATATATATATATATATATATATATATATATATATATATATATATATATATATATATATATATATATGTACACAGGCATATTACGGGAGCGATATACAGCTCTCACAAGTTTTTTTTTTCTCTCTCAAAAGTATTATTTTAACTAAAATGAAAAACGGAATGTTAGAAAAAAGTAAACAATTGAATAATAAACAGGAACTATTTTTGCAAAAAAATATGTCTAAAGAAATTTTTCACCGCGTAATAAATGACGCTTGTTATGTCTATATTATTGCAACATTAACATTATGCTTGTAATAAGTATAAAAACAAATTTTGTTTTTTATAAGCAGTTTTTATATAAATCAACAGAAAACTTGTGCAAAAACCAAAAGCTCTCATAAAAAGCAGTTTAGAGGAGTAGCTCCAATGCCTTGCCATGTTCGTTTTAGAAGAGCTTTTCTCTGCTCTTGCGCTTATTTACTATACACATACACACATTTATACATATATGTATATGAAGCAAACAAGGCTGCTACTCTGAGTAACAAGTTGACCATAGTACTTCCTGAGAAATAATCTAGGATTCAACCTGGACCTCATGTTTATAAGACAAACTTTATATACTCTACTACTGCATATGTTTATTTTAATAAATATACAATCCCGCCTTTTGCTTGGAGCTGAATCTTAGTTATGAAGCAAAAAACCCTGAAAAATCATTTAAAAGAACTTTTACTAAAAATTAAAAAAACAGATGTTTTTATATCGACATTGCAGACCTACCTTATATTTTCACCTTTGAAATCAATATCATAAATAAAGCAACCTTTTTTTTCATTCTCATATTTTTTATGCCTTAATATGGCCTCTTTTCTTGGAATGATTTCCATGAAAATGTACTCCAGCAAAATTTCATTTGCATGAAATTCTTTATTTGTAAAGATCCTGAAACCTTGAAAAAAATCTTTAAAACATAAAAATAACTAAGCTATAGAGTTGAATAATTTCAATAAAACAATACTTTGCTAGATTTAAACAAGAGAATTTCATTATCATCATCATCATCATCACCATCATCATCATCATCATCATCATCATCATCATCATCATCATCATCATCATCATCATCATCATCATCATCATCATCACCACCTTCCTGATAATTATAATCTAGGGGCTATTCTAGGAAAATAATTTGGATGGTGCCAAAATCTGCGCCAAATATGTTCAATGCTGTCGAAGCGGATCTAGAATAGATCCTGTCAACATCGTAAACTAAATAAGATATTAACAAACCTATCTCTCCATTAATAAATTTTTTTTTAAAGTTTATGCTTTCATCTTTACAGGCATCAGTAATTTTTTGATCAAGAGATGACTGTGTCCTTCGCTAAAATATTAAACCATTTTTATACCAAATAAAGAAAAATAATATGTATGTAAAAAAAAATGTTACAAAATATGATACCATTATTATACCAAAGTACACACATATATTTAAAAACACAAACAAAAAAAAAATGTTAAAAATATGATACCATTATTATACCAAAGTATACACATATTTAAAAACACAAACAAAAAAAAATGTTACAAAATATGATACCATTATTAAACCAAAGTACACACATATTTAAACAAATGCGCATCCGTCATTTGTCTGATAACACATACAAAATTTTATATTAACAACTCAACCAACTTATTTCATTATAATGCACTACACTAAACAGTAGTAAAAAGCAGAAGCAACCTGTAGACGAAAAAGTAAATTTATAATCTTATAAGATAATGCTAAAATATATGACTTATATTGTCCCATCACCCTGCTAAACTACATCTTTTTATTATAATGCACCACACCAAGCAGTTTTAAAAAGCTGAAGCAACCTGTAGTGGGAAAAGTAAATATATGATCCCATAATATATAATAAAAATATAGGGCTTAAATTGTCCCGTGGCCCTGCTAGACAACTGACTGGAGTTATTTTTTAAACTTCTGACTATGTAGTTAAACACCTAAACAGAGAAAAAATTAATAAAATTTGTATTTATATAATTAATAAAATTTGTATAGAGCTTGAGAAGACTATAAAAATGTGGGGTCATTCAGATTTAGAAATTAAACTGATCATGTGTTATGGCATCGTAATAAAACAAAAGTAAAACTAAAGTAAAACAAAAGTAAAAAAGCTTTGCTAAAAATAGACAAAAACCAAAATAGAATATTAATTGCAAATCCTAAGCATCAATTTTTTAAGAAAACAAAAATTAACACTTGTTTTAAATAAAAGAGTAAAGGTTATTTTTTACATCTAACTAATTGATGCAAAAACCTCTAAACTTGCTTAGTTAAAAAAAAAAAGATATAAAAGAGTTTACTATTTGAGAGTTCATAAAAATTATGTTTTATTTTTTAAATGCTTTTGTCAAAAAATTCAATACAATTATGTTTATAATTTTATTTCGTTTCTTAACAAAGGCAGTATATAAAGTACAAAATAATAATTATCTGTTATAAAATCTTTGCATATTTGTATACTTCAAAATAAACTTTGCAAGGCAAAACTGATTGAATAAAAAAAATTTTGTTGGCATAAAGAAGTACTAAAAAATCACAAAAATTATAATTAATAAAAAAACATTTAGAACTTTTATGAACTATAGATGTCTGTGATTTGAACAAAAACCTTAATAATAAAAAAAAATTTTAGCAAGTAAATGTAAAACCTAAACTCAGTATGTAATTGTTTTTGAATTTATGTATATAAAAATTATTATTTTTTAGACACTGTTACCAAGTTGAAAGTACAAAATGTATTTGATAAAACAAATTTCAAGATTTATTAGTGTTCATAACAGTTTTGAAAATCTATTTTTCCTGAGCAATCTCTGAATTTCCTTAATTTTTAAGCTCTTTTTCCCAGAGTTTGTACGACAAAAAGTATAAATTTTTGACTGGTAATCTTGAAGATTATAATACTGTTCCAACTGAATTCGTATTGCCAAAACATGTTTACTATAGTAATCCCTTTATAACTAGATATAGATACTATATATAATAAAATTTATAAAACAGCTGCAGTAAGCAACTTTCAATATTACTAAAGATTCAAACCTTGGATATTGCAAAATAACTTCAAGCTAAAAAAATTTTATTAAATTTATTTTATGATTTTCAAAAATTTCCAGATTTTCTCTAAGTGCCATGAACCCCCTTTTTATGCTTATGTTTATATGCTCTAAATTTTAAATAATATTCTTGACTACTTGTATTCAAGAATGTTATTTTAAATTTAGAGCCTATCTAGATAGACTCTAAATGCTATCTAGATGCTAAGATATCTTAGAAGATTATTTTTCATAAACCATGGCATGTTCCATGCAAATAGAACCATGCCATGCAAATTTCGAAGTAAAAGATTTGTATCTTTTCATAACGTTTCACAACTACACTCATTGTTAAATTGTTTTTTATATTTACAGTCTTTATGGAATCGAGTGTAGGGGAGAAATACTCCTATTGAATTATAAAAAACCCGTATCCGCATCCCGCATTACGTATAAATCTGTGATAATTTTACATGAGTTATTTTTCGTAAACAACATGCGTAATTTATTTAAAATATTTTTCAAAATATGTTTTTTAATTTACAAAATCTCCATATTATAAATAACTTCTATTTTTAAGTATTTATTATACTTTATATTACAAAGTATTTATACTTAGGAAATTTTTTTATATTAAAAAAAAATACAAAAAACTTTTTTTCTCTATTTTTTCATATAATCATATTTTTGAATTATTTGTTTAGTTTTTTATTTTACTTTTTGAAAGAGATTATTTTTTGGTTAGGAAAACGTTTTTGTTTATTTGTTGTATGCATCTTTAATTTTTAGATAAAAAATTGTAGAGCATAGATTAAATATCCTGAATAACATATCATTTGTAGTTTTTTTTATGCGCAGCTAGTTGATTATATCATTTTAAAAAGGGGGCCTACTTTAGGGGGCCACTCTCCCCAATATTTAACACAACACGTTGTTAAAAAAACTGAAAGAAATTAGGTGGCTTAGTAAACAGGCTATTTAAAAATAATCGCTGCTTGCTTTATTCATTACATAGTATGTAAATTTTTACGGATAAAAAAGATACTAAACTTTTTTTCTAAAATTTTATCGCACACTAATTTCGCTGCAGACCTGCTGGATTGTCTACGCTTTGTTGCTTGGATTGCAGACCTGCTGGATTGTCTACGCTTTGTTGCAAACACTTGGTTGCTTAAGTTAAAGATTTTAAAATGCTTTTTTATTCACTATGATTAAAGCTGTTACTTTTAAAAAATAACTAAGGTATGAATGAATGCTTAAGAAGCTATACTAAAGAGCGTGATTTGGGATTTGTTTTTACCACACGTGGAGCACACATATTCATTAACAAATTTCTTAAAAATTTTGGTATGTTAAAGAAGGCATTCATTTTCATTGATGGAAATATGGCTAGTTTAATAAAGTGTTTGTAAAACTGCACCTTGAATATGCAGTGTCTGTTTGGGCTTCTTATTTTAAAACTAATATAGCCTTTGTTGAATCTGTTTAACGCAAAATGAGCTTCCAGCGTGAGACAACTTTATACTGGGTAAGATTAAAAAGTTAAATTTACCATCACATGTCTTGAGTCTTGGCACTTACGATGCGATCCAATCCAAATTTATAATCTAATACATTGTTTTGATATAGTTGATAATATGTATCTACAAAAATCTTTGCCTTATGGTCACCTTTATAAAATAAGGCGTCAGAACAAACTACTTGAACTTAAAAGTCCACTAGACCTTTTTTTTCAAAGAGGACTAGGCTCCTGGTTGGATTAAAAATTTAGAGCAAATTTTTATAAAACTTGTTGTTTTTAGAGGGGTCGCTGAATTTACCTACTACTCATTGTATGTAAATATTTATGACTACACTTATAAGAATAACAACAACTACATGCATTGCAATGTAGATTAATCTAACTATGTGCAGGCCCTACGAGAGGGTAGCCACATGGGTCATATGGCCTAGGCCGTCGATTATGTTGGGGCCTCACATTTTCAAAATATATTTTTTAAACATCAAAATAATAATTCGAAATTTCTAATTACACTAAGAAAAGTAACGTCCCAGGCCTCCATAAGAAATGTGTTATTAGTAGACAAGCAAATTTCTCGGCTTGTTGGCTTGCTAAAATAAACAAAAAGGGCCTCGTATATAAGTGACAGTCTGTCTTTAATTGCTTTAGTTGACAATCTGTTTTTATTGTAATAGTTACAGACTTATATGGTCCCAATTTATCTGAAGACTTAAATTGGCTTTGCATCAACTTGTGTTGCATTTTACGCAAAATGTCATCTTGGGGCCTCCCATTTATAACTGGCCCAGGCCTCTCTAAACCTCTGAAAGGGCCTGCCTATGTTTTTTATTTTAGGTGCCTCAAGAAGTCCTTAGAGTCTTATTACAGAGCATCGCGGAGATGCATTTTACAGGAAGTTATCCCAACCACTGTCACAAAACTTCCCCAGAGGTCGCTTTGAAACGCAGAATTCTTTCTTCTTAGGCAAGCGTGTTAGCACTACGCCGCGTCTGTTTATTTTAGTGGAGTAACGAGGAGATGGTCGGGGGGCAAAAATGAAAACTGTTCTGGGCGCAAAGACTTAAAATGGCGTTGAAAAAAACATAAATAACTAACATATTTTTTTAATTCAATTGGTGAATTTGCGCCCTCCCAATTTTGGCGCCTGGGGCTACGGTCTAGTAATTAGAATAGAATTAAACTAGTTATGTTTAATTTATTTATTTTTCATGTCATTTAATGTTTTTAAAACGATTTGTGGCTATGAAAATAGCCGTTTTTTAAAATTGATAGGATTGTATCATTGACATTGGAAAGTATCACTGATATCTGCATCTTTGATTGAAATATGAACACACTCACAATGATACCACTGTGGACATTTTGTGCATTGCACCCAATAGTTCTTCTCAAAGGATGTGTTTTTGCAAATCTGTAATAATATAATGTAAAAAGGTTATTCCTGTATTCACTGCAACAACATCTATTACTCTATCTCAAATTTCATAGACTTTTTCATATATTTTTTATATTTTCTAACTTCTAAATGTAACGGTATATATTTGTTTTTCGCCAACCGAATCGCATTTAATTCATTGTCGTCGAACAAAATAATAAAGGATAAGAACAAAAATATTTTCTAAAACGTTCAAAACCACTTTCAAGGTTTTTTAAACACCTACCGCATAAAGTCTCGTAAATATATTTACGAAATTGTACTTCGTTAAATGGATCATTAATACTTTTTTCTGAAAACACACTTTTAAATGAATTTATATAAATACAGAAAATAAAAAATCGTGTTATGAATCATAACACGGTTTTTTTAAACATCATAAGTTAAGATGCATTTTTGAATAGTCGCAAATTATAAGTAATGCAAGCAATTAACAATTATAATTTACTGGACAATTACAGCATTAAATAATTTTATGCAATAAATGAAATAGTTAATAAATTATGCAATAAATGAAATAGTTAATAAATGAATTTATATATGAATTAATTATAAGCAACATAACAAAAAAGTAGTTGCAAAATTGACAACTAAAAAAAATACTAACATATGAATATATATTATACAATATATTATTGAAAAATAGGGATACCTTCACAAAGATGTAATGCATAATAGCATACGTAAACACCGCAGTTGTAACTATCCTTCTGTAAACAATGACTTGGGGCTGAAATAACAGTTGGGTTTAAATGTTAAATTTTAGTCTAAAAAGGTCTTTAGCAACAGCAAAGGATTTATTGTGTGATAAATTATTCGGCATAATATTGCAATGGAGTGGATCAAGTAGAGTTACTTCTTTTGTTATAACTTTTAAATGTATTAAAATCCAATGAGAATTAGTTCTATAACTTTAGTATCAACATCTTTCCATAAAAGCCTTAAACTTCTTGAACAGCTGAAAGCTAATGCTTCAGTTGGACCTAAATATTTAATTAAAGGGTACCTTTTTTCTAAGCAATGCAGAAAACCTCCTATTACTTCATCTTGAAGCCAGCCTTTTTGAAAACTTGGAGTGCTTTTTTTTAAATTAAACAAAACGTCAGATGGTATAATTTTTTCTAATGTTAAAAGGGAAATAAAAGATAGTTGGTGAGCGCCATGCCTAAATACATACATACATACATACATACATACATACATACATACATACATACATACATACATACATACATACATACATACATATATATATATATATATATATATATATATATATATATATATATATATATATATATATATATATATATATATATATATATATATGTATATATATATATATATATATATATGTATATATATATATATATATATATATATATATACATACATATATATATATATATATATATATATATATATATATATATATATATATATATATATATATATATATATATATATATGTATGTATATATATAAATATATACATAAAAAATACATAAATATATATATATAAATATATATTTATATATATATATATATATATATATATATATATATATATATATATATATGTGTGTGTGTGTGTGTTTGTTTGTATATATATATATATATATATATATACAAACACACACATATATGCAAATAATTTATATTTTACACACAAATATAACTAATATACTGAAGGAAATATAGTTTATTTTCTTATTTACTCTGTAATATATTATCCATTACATCCAATTAACTTGAATAAACCAACTTGTTTAAAAGCTAAAATATTTGGAGATAAATTAAATAAATGTTTGAGATTTTTGCTTCACTTGATTATTACCTGTACCATCAGCTAAGATTCTTTTGGGCAGTTTTTTTCTTGAGATCTCAGAAGAAATGATTGTAACTTATGAACATGCTTGTAAAGGATTACAATGTCATTACAACTACACCTATATAAATGCTCACACAAACCATTACAGGCTGGATTTATACATGACTCCAAACACAAACTTTCCTTACAAGCTTCAGTTAGAATGTCAACATTGTATGTTACATCTTTTAATTGACTTTTAACTGTGTACTGAGTTAATGAACATTTTCTAATACATTTATCAAAATCAACATTCCTTTTTCATGTCTTTTTTTATACTTTTTTGGGAGAGATAATGTTCCAAGATAAATAGTGTCTCTTTTGTAGTGCCAATAACTATTTTCTTCGATTGTTAAAAGTAAATTAATTAAATCGTCTAACCTTTTATTAGGTCGTCTTTCCATATAAACTGTTTTCAATTTGTTATGAAATAATTCACATAACATATTAGTATCAGCGTCTGCATGTTGAAAGTTGCAATAACAAGAAGTCCATTTTAGATGTCGTGGAGCTTAGTATGTAACAAAGTAACTAATGAAGTTAGGACATTTATGTTCATATGCCTTTACAAAACCATTCATAGTTGATAAAAAAAAATCAGGGTTTTTTTCGTCAATGATTGTCTCTAAGATCCTATAAACTTCTTCTTGTAAATTAGTTGGACCAACTAAAGGAAGTTTATTGCACCATGCACGTTTTTTATGCCATTTGCATAGCAAGTGGCGCACATCTCCAAAAACATTAGTAAAAGCATTCCATCCTGACAAATCATCTGTCATAACAGCATTAACTTTTACAGAATTATTGCATCTTCTTTTTATTTCCTCTAAAAATGGTGTTATGGTTTGTTCATCTGCATGATTGGAAATAAGAAAAGCTACTGGATAACCCCTTTTAAATTCATCTCGAACTAGTAAAGTTACAAGAGGGAATGCATACTGATTGGTACAATGTGTAGCATCAATACAAACAATTTGAGATGAATGTGTTTCAAACATTGATAGTTGATGCTTTGTTTGTATACCAACCACAAAGGAATCCTTATTAAGGTCAATGTCATCATACACCTTTGGACCAATAACAGTTTGCTGTCCTTGTGACTTATAAACGAGAATGCTATTAAAATCTTCAGACTTCAACTTTTGAACAAGTAAAAAAGTTGAAACGCTATCATCAGGGTGAAGCCGACATCTTTTTTTTACTGCTCTGCTGATATCAGAAATGTTTTTTTTTGTAAGAAGATGTGATTTAGTTAAAACAGTATCTTCATCATTTCTATTTTGTCTGTCTCCAAAACTTTCTCTAAGATCACGATAAACTGTATTTACAGGCACACCTATTGATAATTTAGCGGAAATGTTTTTTTTTAATATTACCTGGTATAGGTTGATACATGGTATTTGTAATACCAATACTGTGGTTATGAGTTTAGATATACTGAACATAAGTACCTTTTATTAGTTTTTCTTGCTGGTTCACCAACAGAGCAATGCGGTTTTGAATGATCATCATTTTGACAAATATAATAACTTGTTTTTACATCTTTATTTATATTTATTCCAGTGAAAAAACTACCAGTTTGTTTACTGAAAAAAATATAACTATTAAGTTCCTCTTTTTCCTTCCATGCTAAAAATTCAGATTCTGATAAAAAAAATGTAAGATTCTTTGGTAAATATACCTTCATGACACTCCTCTATGTTAATAAGTTTAACATTTTGAAAAAAATACTTGGCTGCAGTTTTGATAATGACATGGCGTTCTTTTATCTTTGGATTGATTATCTCTAAAAATGGTTTTATGCGCCTGTAATGCATGTCTTTTCATGTTATCTTTTCTTGTAAACGACATCATACAAGCAGAACACATAAAACTAAAAACAACAACTTTTAGTTAGGACTTTATATACTTTAGTTACTTATTGATATAAATTAGGTATTTTACCTAGGTTTCTTTAACTGAATTTCTGTTAAACTAGTTGATGGATTGATTGATGACAATGCTGAAAAAAAACTGATGTAAATTGATTTCCTTTAAAATCTAACTTATCTAGTTTAAACCTTTAAAAAAGAAGATTCTTATAAATAAGAGAGGAGATTTACTCTTTTAAATAAAACTTATTCTTACAACAAAAACTTTATAAAGGGGAGAATTACTCTCACCACAGAACACTGCCAAATAGGTTTACTTTATCAATGAAATTATTCTTTTTGATTATTTAATTTAAAAAAAGGGGAGAATTACTTTCATTTGAAAAAAAAAACTTAAAAGTGGAGATTTACTCTTAAAAAAAACTTGAAAAAAGTAAAACTTATTCTTACAACAAAAACTTTAAAAAGGGGAGAATTACTCTCATCACAGAACACCGCCAAATAGGTTCACTTTATCAATAAAATTATTCTTTTTGATAACTTAATTTTGAAAAGGGAAGAACTACTCTCATCTGAAAAAAAAAAAACTTAAGAGAGGAGATTTACTCTTTTAAATAAAACTTGATCAAGTTTTGTCAATTTTGTCAATTGAACAAAAGTAAAACTTTCTCTTACAACAAAAACTTTAAAATAGGGATAATTACTCTCACCACAGACTACCGCCAAATATTTTCACTTTATCAATAAAGTTATTCTTTTTGATTATTTAATTTTGAAAAGGGGAGAATTACTCTCATATGAAAAAAAAAACTTAAGAGAGATTTACTCTTTTAAATAAAACTTGATCAAGTTTTGTCAATTTTGTCAATTGAACAAATTAAAACTTACTCTTACAACAAAAACTTTAAAAAGGGGAGAATTACTCTCACCACAGACCACCGCCAAATAGGTTCACTTTATCAATAAAAATATTCTTTTTGATTATTTAATTTTGAAAAGGCGAGAATTACTCTCATATGAAAAAAAAAACTTAAGAGTGGAGATTTACTCTTTTAAATAAAACTTGAAAAAATTAAAACTTATTCTTACAACAAAAACTTTAAAAAGGGGAGAATTACTCTCACCACAGACCACCGCCAAACATGTTCACTTTATCAATAAAGTTATTCTTTTTGATTATTTAATTTTGAAAAGGCGAGAATTACTCTCATATGAAAAAAAAAACTTAAGAGAGAATATTTACTTTTAATGAGACTTACTCTCTAGAGAGAGTAAGTCTCGTTAAAAGTAAATATTCTCTCTTAAGTTTTTTTTCAAAGAGAGCTCTCCATCGATATAACATAATATTTACTTTTAATGAGACTCCATCGATATAACATAACATTTACTTTTAATGAGACTTACTCTCTCTAGAGAGAGTAAGTCTCATTAAAAGTAAATATTCACTCTTAACTTTTTATTCAAAGAGAGCTCTCCATCGATATAACATAAGAACTCAAAAAACTAAAAACCCTACCTTTATTAGGATTTATTTCTGTAGCATTAACAGATGATAACTTGACACTAAGCTTGTTAAACATATCTTTGTTTAATTTTACAATAAGTTTATTTACTTTTATAACACCAGGAACTTCAGAACTTTATTATTCACGACGTAGCGACATGCAACAAATGTTATGCAGGTCAAAATACGGGCTAATGTTTCCGTCGGGAGTATTTCTCCCCTACGTAAAATTCGTCTTTATGAAAAAGATTTTAACGCGTAGCTTTTTGCACATGGCGCTCAACTTACGTCTGTTATAAAATTTACTGACCCACTTTTAGATATTTTAATTGCAACAAAAACGCAAATAAAATTGAAGCAAAAACGCAGCAAAAACACAAATAATTTAGCAGCAAAAACGCATTTGCAGCAAAAACGCAAACAAAATGCAGCAAAAAAGCAAAATTGCAGCAAAAACGCAAAAAAATTGCAGCAAAATTTTAAATTTTTTTTTTTTTTTCTAAACTTAGGTAGAAAAAAAATTACAAGCTGTTTACATATTTTAAGCCTATTGTTTTAAAGGTAAATCGTTTAACTATGCTTTCGAAACTTCTCATTGTAAAGACTATTGATTGATAAAATCATTTTTAGGATTTCTCATTGACATTTTTAAATTGAGGATATAAAGTAAAAAAAAAAAATTTAATAAAATTAATTTTGATCAGTTAAATTTGATCAATATTTTTTTTAACTATTACATGTTGGATCAAAGTAGATTTTCTTGTAACATTTCTTTTGTAACTAAACTTTAGCATCAAGCCCATGAATCTCGACATATTTTATTTTTCAAGAAAAGCGTAACTCTCAAGTAAGTTTAATTTTTTTTGTATTAATAATTTTAATATTATTGTTTAATTCGATTGTCAAATGCTATATATATATATATATTATATATATATATATATATATATATATATATATATATATATATATATATATATATATATATATATATATATATATATATATATATATATATATATATATGTCTATATATATATATATATATATATATATATATATATATATATATGTATATATATATATATATATATATATATATATATATATATATGTATATATATATATATATATATATATATATATATATATATGTATATATATATATATATATATATATATATATATATATATATATATATATATATATATATATATATATATATACTTTTAAAACTAACACATATTTTAAAAGTGTAATAAATATGTTTTGTTTGCATAAATGTACCAACAATCAACATTGACAACAATGGATTGTACATAAATCCAAACCAAAACTTAAATATTTTTCTAGATGAAACCATAGTCAGTAGAAGTTATACCTGGTCAGGAAATAAAATATTTCGACAAAATGATCTTATTATTTGAAATATAGTAATCACGTGATCAAAGTAAAAGCAAAAAAAAAAATTACCGATTGAAGAAAGTCTTCAGTTTCATTCTCTTAATTCTAAAAGCTTGGAAGTTAATTAATTTTAATTTTTTAATTTTAATTTTGTTCAAGCTGTTTAAATAATTAAGTTACAATTATTTTATAACTTTTTTGAATAAAAAATGGAGCAAATTGTGCTTTTCCTAAATGTGGAGTTACAAAAACCTCTTAACACCAAGGTATTGGAATATTTTAACTTCCAAATCGGCCAGACAACAATGAAAAAAAATTATATTAAACCTTTTGTCAAAATGTAGAAATATTGACAACCATCTCAAAGAGCGCATTACAAATGGGAATATCTTTCTTTGTGAACTTCATTTAGAGCCAATAGATATTGAGTTTACAAGTAAGTTATTTTCTGAGTTATTGTTATTTTTTTAAAATGTTAAAATATTATTATTTAAAATATTCTTACCTTATTTATAAATTTTTTACTCCTCATTGAACTTATGCCAATGTAAAAACTTATTTTAAATATTTGTTAAATTTTAAAAAACCAAAGCAAAATCATTTTTTTTGTTGCAGTAAAATAAGTCTTTATTTATGTCTAACTATGTTATTGTTTTTGTATTATAGAGACTGGTCAAAAAATGTTAAAGCTTGGTGCAATACCATTGCTCAAGATTCCTAAGAAATCTCATGAAACTTTTTAAGCACCTGAAAGAAGACATATATCTATTGTTAAAGATATTTTGACTACAAAAGAAAAACATACAGACAAATACAAAAAACTTTAGTGAACTTACTAATGTAGCTATGAATCTTGAACTAAATTGGTTTATATCATATAATAAAAACTTTATATAATTTAAGTCTTTTTAAACTTTTACTTTAGTACCACATTTAGAAGTTATTGATGGATGTAGTCTAGAAAATTTTGTTATTGTTTATGGATGGACATTGCCTGATGACCATCACTTGTATAACGAGTTTTTAAGGTCAGTTCGTCATGTTGAAATATCAAAATTGTTGAATAAAGTTCAATCTTTACAGATTTGTACTGACATAACATTTGAGTTGGTAGATTGCGATAAAGATGGACATCTAATTAATCATTATATTTCTCATAAATTTGACCTTAACAATAAAAAAAAGTACCATTATAATTACCATTAATGTTACAAAGATTGTTTTGTTATTTGTTCTAATTGTGAAAAGTGTGTAAAATGTTTACATTTTGAAATTTATTTTATTAAATGTAAAGCTAGTGTTTCAATAAAAATTGATTAAACAGCTCATTTGAATGCCCCATTATCTGTCTCATATACAAATCTTGTAAAGTTAGCACTAGTTGAAGCGCGTTCTAAAAACTGAAAAACTTTTGCAGAACATTGAAAGAATGCAGAAGGAAATACAGGTTAATGATGTTGAAGTCAGCACTTGTTTAAGTTCTGATCTTGATATTATAATTAGTAAAAACCATAAAGATATGATACCATTTATGAAAATTTTCTGGGAAGATCACAATTGTTTATCAACTAGCAAAGTTCCTTGATATTATCTAATGATAATTCGATTTTGTCTTTCTCTTGCAGCTAAATCAGCCTCAGCATATGATGAATTTAGAGATGCTAACATTTTAACACTTCCAAGTAGGCGGACAATAAGTGAATATAAGAATTCTATTTGACCATCATTCGAAATGTTGTACTTTCTTTTGATGAAACACGCATACAAGATAATTTAGTATTTGACAAAGGAGGGCCTGAATTAAATTTTTCTTGGAGACCCTAAAATAAACTTTTCCACTGTTACTGATGCAAATAATTTATCCAGTTACTGTCTAGTATATCATATAAGTGGAATTGCATGCAATCTAAAATTTTGTTAGCATATTTTGCTACTAATGGTGAAACAGCTATGCTAATAATGCCAACGTTTTGGAAACCTGCATCTATATAGAACTTTATTATAATTTGTAAGTAATTGCAGTTTCAGATGGTGCCTCACCAAATTGATCATTTTATAAAATGCATTTTAGACAATCTAGATGACTCAGTTTTGCATTGCACTATTAATTTATATGCACCTGATCGTTTTATATATATTTTTTGCAGATGCTCCACACCTAATGAAAACATTTAGAAACTGCATTTATTACTCTAGTGTAGTTAAATGTACCGGTAATCTTTGGAACCGTGATCAGAATATTTTTGGTACCATATAGTTAAAATAGTGCAAGATAAAATAAATAACAATCTTGCCAAAACTTAGTTATGAACATGTACATTTAACTGCATATACTGTAATGAATGTACAATATGGCACACAAGTTTAAAATGCAAGTGTTGCAAATGTTTTTTATCAGCACTATCCTCCTGAAATACATGTTACAACTGAACTTTGTTCACTTATGGTTAGACTCTTTGACTGTTTAAATGTAAGAAACCAAAATGAAAGTTTATTTAAAAAGAAATCAGACTAAAAAGTCTATCGCGATCTTAATAACTCTCGATTTGATTGGTTATTGAATGATTTTTTAAACTATTTTTCAAGTTGAAAAGAATGTATCAAAAATTGTAATCAAAACTTTGCACGTAATGCTCTTAATCGCATGTTTATTTCTTGGCAAACGTATGAGGGTTTAATTATAACGGTACGCTCTTTTGTGGAACCAACACGTTTTCTATTAAGTGAAGAAATGACATTTATATTTACATATATTTTAACACATCTTGATTGCTTTAATCAAGATGTGTTAAAAGACTATTTTGGAAGACATTGTAGTCTTGGAAAACGAAATGATAATCCAACTGTGATTCTGTTTGGCTATCAATCCACCACTTCGCGTATGCAACATTCTATTGCACCAGTTACAAAGAA